AACCTTGAATGATTTTCAAAAATTATTAGGGAACATAAATTGGATACGGCCATATTTCAAAATTACTACTGGAGATTTACATCCGCTTTTTGCAATTTTACAAGGAGATTCAAATCCTAAATCTCCTCGTAATTTGACTCAAGAAGCATTGCAAAGTCTTAAATTGGTTGAACAAAAATATCTGAAGCTAAAGTTATTCAGATTGATTATTCAAAAACATGGGATTTATTAATTATTCAAACTACTTATACTCCAACAGCTTGTTTATGGCAAGAAGGCATCTGGAATGGTTGCATTTATCACATGTACAAACACGTGTGGTAACTGCATATCCGTCTATGTGTGCCTGGTTAATTATGAAAGGCATACTGAGATCTCGTGAATTGTTTGGCAAGGATCCAAATAATATTGTAATTCCATATAACAAAGCACAATTTGAGTTTTTGTTGCAAAATGATGATGATTGGGGAATTGCCATACAAAACTTTACAGGACAAATTAAATTTCATTTACCCCAAAATCCATTAATTAAATTTGTGGAAGATACATCAATTATATTTCCTTCGGTTATCAGTATTGAACCACTGCATGATGCCACACTTGTCTTTACTGATGGTTCTTCATCAGGCATATCTGTTGTCTATAGTCCTGGTAAAGAGCCGTTAAGAAAAATGACGTCTGATATTTCTGCTCAGCAAGCTGAGATTATTGCAGTTATTATGGCTTTAGAAAGTTACACTCAACCTTTGAATTTGTATTCTGATTCCAAATATGTTGTATCATTGTTTCCTTCGTTGGAAACTGCTCTTTTATCTGGAACAACACATATTCTGCCATTATTATCTAAATTACAAAATTTGGTTCACCAAAGATCTGAAAAACTCTTTATTGGACATATTCGAGGTCATACAAATTTACCTGGGCCTTTAGCTTTAGGGAATCATATGGCAGATTTATTAACAAAAGATGTTTTAATTGGCTCTGTTGAATTGGCTCAACAGAGTCATCAACTGCATCATCAAAATGCTCAAGCACTGCGACATGCATTCAAAATTACTCGAGAACAAGCTCGGGCTATTGTGAGAAATTGTGAACATTGCCCTGATATTCATCATCCATTAAAGATGGGAGTGAATCCCAGAGGTTTAAAACCTCTGGCTTTGTGGCAAATGGATGTCACTCATTATTCCTCATTTGGAAGGCTGTCATTTATTCATGTAGTAGTGGATACTTTTTCTCATGCTGTATATGCCACAGCCAGAACTGGTGAAGCTGTACGTGATGTGGTTCAGCATCTTATAGCATCCTTTGCAGTTCTTGGAAAGCCTATGAAATTAAAAACTGACAATGCTCCAGCTTATACTGCAAAGGCATTCAAATTATTTTGTCAACAATGGAAAATTGATCATGTTACTGGTATACCTTATAATCCTCAAGGACAAGCTGTAATTGAGAGAACTCATCAAACTTTGAAACATCAATTAGATAGATTGCATTCTACAGCTCATTTTTCACCGCATCACCAGCTTCAACACGCTCTTTTTGTCTTGAATCATTTAAATGCAGATGAAAATGGAATGACGCCTATGATAAGGCATTGGGGTACTGTGCAATCTGTTCCCCTGCCACTAGTTATGTGGCGAGACTTACTGGAACTTGGAAAGGGCCGGATGTACTGTTAACTGTGGGTCGAGGCTATGCTTGTGTTTTTCCACAGGATGCCGAGACGCCCATCTGGATTCCAGACAGGCTCATCCGCCATCGATCACGGCAGGCGGGCACAACGTCGCCGTCGCCTGGTTGCGTCGATCCGGAGAATGAGACAAGCTTATCTGGAAGCGATGTTCCAGAGGACAGGGTGTGCGGAACCTCCCCAGAATCCTAATCTTCCTACAGCTGAGCAGCTTCTTCGTCTTCTGCAAGTGGCTGAAGCCTTGCTTCAAAGAATGAATCAGCCTATTGGACCTACTTTATTCTTATGGCCGCTTTAGCCATAACAGGAGTTCCAGTACAGGCTGAGACATATTGGGCCTATGTGCCAGATCCACCGTTATTGCATCCTGTCAGCTGGAATGAAGAAACACCAATTAAGGTGTATGTCAACAATACTGACATAATGGGTGGACTAGCAGACTTTCATTCTAAAGCAGAAATGTCAGTTCCTTTTAACTATGAAGGACTTTCTGATGATACACCTATATGTTTTGCTACTATGATTCTTGTCCCACAGACATGCATGATGCTTTCTACTAGAACAACTTTTATTGACTCTCCTCCAACAAATGGAAAAATTGGACGTAATGTTTGGGTTTTGCGTTTTGCTTATTTGAGCTTTCCTGTTGATATTTATAGTAAATACACAGCTGTCCCTGATTTTTCTTTACCTTTCCATAACTGTAATCAAACTTATAGGGATAGAGATCAGTTCTGGGACTCTTTGGTGAAGAATCCGGTTTGGCTTGATTGTGGCTTTCCAAAAGCGTCACAAATGTCTCCACCCAGAACGTCTGAAGAACTATATGACTTTCCATTAGTCATTCTAAACCTGGGTCCACTGCCTACGGGTGGGCTTGGTGGTGGTTTTCTCCAGGATGGGTGGCTCCTTCTTTGGTCATTCGACCTGCTCTTCAAAGAAAACTATAATTCAACCAGACATTTTTCGACTTACGGCTGCTGCACAAAATCTACAATGGCAACCTCCATCGAAAAAGCCTATCGATGTAGGCCTTCGTACATGTGTTAGATATCCTTATGCTTTGTTATTAGGTAATGTTACTAATGTGAAAATTACTCGTACAAATAATTCTTATTCTGTTAAATGTTCGCAATGTATTTTGACTAATTGTCTATCTCCTGATAGGGACAGAAAAACCCTGAATGTGATCCTTGTTGTTAAACGTCCTTCTTATGTTATGGTTCCTGTTGATTTACAGGATATGCCTTGGTATGATGATCCAGCTTTGCAAATGTTTAAAGAAATTAATGCTTTAATTAGGCCAAAAAGGTTTATTGTTTCTCTGTTCCTGGGAATTGCTGCTTTGATAGCAATTGTTACTTCACTTGCAGCCTCGTCTGTTGCCCTGGTGCAAGAAACTCATACAGCACATTTTGTTAATGACCTCACACAAAATGTAACTTTAGCACTTGCCTTGCAACATTCCATTGATAAAAAAAATGGAACAAAAACTTAATGCCTTGGAGGAAACAGTACTGGCTTTGGGAGAAGAAGTTCAGCAAATTAAGAGACTTCTCTCCACTCGTTGTCATGCACAGTTTAAATTTATCTGTGTCACGCCCAAACCGTATAATTCATCTCTTCATTGGGCTTTTGTTAAAAATCATTTACTGGGTATTTGGCGTGAAAGTGACACTAGTCATGATTTGTCTTCACTTCAAGCAGAAATTTCTGCAATGAGCCAGGCTCATTTGTCTGAACCAACTTTGTCTGCATTTGCATCGACATTTTCTGACTCTCTACGTTCCTTGGCTCCCTCTAATTGGTTACACTTTTTAATTTCATTTGGAATAATTATGTTAATAGTCTTGGTTTGTTGCCTTATGGTTCCTGTGTTTTTGAAATTATTAGCAGGAATGTGAAGACACTTCGTCGTGATGTGCATTTTATGCAGCTTCAATTTGAAAAAAAGGGGGAACTGTGGCGGCTCCTGAGAGGAATGTGACTATTGCCACAATTTCTCATTAAAACAGAGTGGCTGTGCTGTTATGGTACATAAGTCCCTCTTCCCCTGTGTGCTGGACTGGACAGTCAATGACGGGTAAGATCAGAAAGGAATTTCTGACAACCTAAGACAGACGCAGTCCCCAAGGGGATTTAATGGTTCCCACCTTTCACATATGGAAAATAACTAGGAAAACAGGCCTGGAAGATTTTGAGGCAAAACCAAGTCATGTTGTTAATCATTACTAGGCAGTAGTCTCACAATAAAGGAATGCAATTATGGCAAAGGAAACTGGTTCTATTACTTTCAGTAATCGTGTAACCAAGTAGAACTATAGGAATAATAAGTAGAAATGGAAGCTATAAAAGTAAGATTATGATAGGTATGTATAATCATAACAGTGAATCGCAAGACCTAGAACAGACCTCGATTGAGGGGGGTAAAATATGAAATGTTCTTGATTTGTTCCTGATTTCTTGATAAATAATAAATAAGATGTTATGTTATTCATGTTTCACTGCATTTACAAACAATCTGATAAATGATTAACCACATACTGTGAAAAACATAATGAAGCAATTACTGTGAAAATGTATAAAAAGAAATGGCTGATCCTAATAAATCGCACTCAGATTTTCACTCTCCCTTGAGTGTGTCTGTGTGTTATTCTTGTCCCTCGCCTTATTTCCTTCGACCACCCTTTGGTCATCCTCGCTCAAACCCTGAGATTGTCTCAATCTCCCGCCGCGCTGGGCTGGTCCGCGGCACCGCGGGCTCCTCCAAAACTGCAGGCAGACAGGTCGGTGAGGAAAGCCCCTGGCAACCAAGCATCACTCAAAGGGGAAGAGTCCTCACCAGGCCAGGCAGCGCTGATGAGCTTCAGGCCGCGCCCCCGGCCGGAGCCTGAACCCGCCCACCGGCCTCTGCCTGTGCAAAGGTGCACTTCACAGAGCCGCCGCTAGGGCGTGCTGGCGAGCGGGGTGGTTCGGGACCCGCAGCCCCCAGAGGGTAGGGGGACCTCTGCAACCACGGGGGTACAGAGTCCGAGGCCCCCTACAAGGTGCAGGGACCGCAAGCCCGTTTTGGCAATGGGGCCCTCTTCCCCTCGGGGACACCTGCAACCTCCTCCACACTCACACCCCGAGGGGCTGACAGTGCGCCGATGACGCCATAGACGGAGGGGCGGGGTCATCGTCAGGGAGGGTACCCCCTGTATGCCTCGGACTGGCTGCGACCGCGGCCTCCTCCAAAGCTGCACACAGACAGGTCGGCGGGGAAAGGCACGGGCAACCCAGCAGCACTCAAAGGGGAAGAGTCCTCAGCTAGCCAGGCAGCGCTGATGAGCCTCAGGCCCCGCCCCGGCCGGAACCTGACCCCGCCCACCGGACTCTGACTGAGCACAGGTGCAGTTCACAGGGACGCCGCTAGGGGGAGCGGGGGAGGGGGTTCGGGGACCCTCAGCCCCCACGGGGGTAGGGGAACCTCTACCCCAGGGGGAAACGGGACCCTCTTCTCCCATGGGGGATCGGGGCCCAATTCCCTCTTGGGGGAACGGTAAATCCTCCTCCCGGGGAACACCTGCACCCTCCTCTCGGACTCACAAACCCAGGGGCAGGACGTGTGCCCCAACACGCCCTAGACGAAGGGGCAGGGTCACCATCAGGGAGGGCAACCCCTGTAAGCCACAGACAGACAGCGCCCGTGGTGTCCTCCAAAACTGCAGGCAGACAGGCCAGCGCGGAAAGCCCTTAGCAACCCAAAACCACTCACAGGGGAAGAGTCCTCACCTGGCTCAGCAGCGCTGCTGAGCCCCATGCTCCGCCCCCGGTCGGAGCCTGACCCCGCCCACCGGACTCTGCCTGTGCAAAGGTGCACTTCATAGAGCCGCCGGGGGGGTAGCTGGTGAGGGGATTGGGGACCCTCAGCCCCAAGGGGGCAGGGTGACCTATACCCCATGGGGAAAGGGGACACTCTTCCCCCATGCGGGAACGAGGCCAACTTCCCCCTTGGGAAACGGTAATCCTTCTCCCTGGGCAAAACTGCAGCCTCCTCTCGCACTCACACCCCCAGGGGCAGACCGTGCGCCCGACGACGCCATAGACGGAGGGGCGGGGTCACCGTCAGGGAGGTTACCGCCTGTATGCCTCGGACTGGCTGCGACCGCGGCCTCCTCCAAAGCTGCAGGAAGACAGGTCGGCGGGGAAAGGCCCGGGCAACCCAGCAGCACTCAAAGGGGAAGAGTCCTCCGCTGTCCAGGCAGGGCTGATGAGCCTCAGGCCCCACCGCCGGCCGGAGCCTGACCCCGCCCACCAGCCTCTGCCTGTGCAAAGGTGCACTTCACAGAGCCGCCGAAAGAGGGCGCTGGCGAGCGGAGGGTTAGGGGACCCTCAGTCCCCAGAGGGTAGGGGGACCTCTGCAAACACGGGGGTACAGAGTACGAGGCCCCCTACAAGGTGCAGGGACCGCAAATCCCGTTTTGGCAATGGGGCCCTCTTCCACTCGGGGCCACCTGCAACCTCCTCCGCACTCACACCCCGAGGGGCTGACAGTGCACCGACGACGCCATAGACGAGGGGCGGGGTCACCGTCAGGGAGGGTACCCCCTGTATGCCTCGGACTGGCTGCGACCGCAGCCTCCTCCAAAGCTGCAGGCAGACAGGTCGGCGGGGAAAGGCCCGGGCAACACAGCAGCACTCAAATGGAAAGAGTCCTGCGCTGGCCAGGCATCGCTGATGAGCCTCAGGCCCCGCCCCCGGCCGGAACCTGACCCCGCCCACTGGACTCTGCCTGAGTACAGGTGCAGTTCACAGGGCCGCCGCTAGGGGGCGCGGGCGAGGGGGTTAGGGTAGCCTCAGCCCCAAGTGGGGTGGGGAACCTCTACCCCAGGGGGAAATGGGATCCTCTTCCCCCGTGGGAGATCGGAGACCACTTCCCCTTGGGGGAACGGTATATCTTCCTCCCGGGGCACACCTGCACCCTCCTCTCGGACTCACAAACCCAGGGGCAGGACGTGTGCCCCAAGACGCCCTAGACGAAAGGGCGGGGTCACCGTCAGGGAGCACAACCCCTGTAAGCCACAGACAGACGGCGCCCGCGGCGTCCTCCAAAACTGCAGGCAGACAGGCCGGCGGGGAAAGCCCTTAGCAACACAGCACCACTCACAGGGGAAGAGTCCTCACCTGGCTCAGCAGCGCTGCTGAGCCCCAGGCACCGCCCCCGGCCGGAGCCTGACCCTGCCCACCGTCCTCTGCCTGTGCAAAGGTGCACTTCACAGAGCCGCCGCTAGGGGACGCTGGCGAGCGGGGAGGTTCGGGGACCCTCAGCCCCCAGAGGGTAGGGGGACCTCTGCAACCACGGGGGTACAGAGTACGAGGCCCCCTACAAGGTGCAGGGATCGCAAGCCCGTTTTGGCAATGAGGCCCTCTTCCCCTCGGGGGACACCTGCAACCTCCGCCGCACTCACACCCCGAGGGGCTGACAGTGTGCCAACGATGCCATAGACGGAGGGTCGGGGTCACTATCAGGGAGGGTACCCCCTGTATGCCTCGGACTGGCTGCGACCGCGGCCTCCTCCAAAGCTGCAGGCAGACAGGTCGGCGGGGAAAGGCCCGGGCAACCCAGCAGCACTCAATGGGGAAGAGTCCTCCGCTGGCCAGGCAGCACTGATGAGCCTCAGGCTCCTTCCCCGGCCGGAGCCTGACCCCGCCCACCGGACTCTGCCTGAGCACAGGTGCAGTTCACAGGGCCGCCGCTAGGGGGCGCTGGCGAGGGGTTTCGGGGACCCTCTGCCCCCACGGGGGTAGGGAAACCACTACCCCAGGGGGAAACGGGACGCTCTTCCCCCATGTGGATCGGGGCCAACTTCCCCCTTGGGGGAATGGTAAATCCTCCTCCTGGGGCACACTTGCAACCTCCTCTCGGACTCACAAACCCAGGGGCAAGAAGTGTGCCCCAAGACGCCCTAGACGAAGGGGCGGGGTCACCGTCAGGGAGGGCAACCCCTGTAAGCCACAGACAGAAGGCGCCCGCGGCGTCCTCCAAAACTGCAGGCAGACAGTCCGGTGGGGAAAGCTCTTAGCAACCCAGCACCACTCACAAGGGAAGAGTCCTCACCTGGCTAAGCAGCGCTGCTGAGCCCCAGGCTCCGCCCCCGGCCAGAGCCTGACCCCGCCCACCGGACTCTGCCTGTGCAAAGGTGCACTTCATAGAGCTGCCCTGGGGAGCGGGCTGGTGAGGGGGTTGGGGACCCTCAGCCCCAAGGGGGCAGCGTGACACCTACCCCATGGGAAAAGTGGACGCTCTTCCCCATGGGTGAAGAAGGCCAAATTCCCCCATGGAGAACTGTAAACCTTCCCCCGGGGCACACCTGCAGCCTCCTCTCGCACTCACACCCCCAGGGGCAGGCAGTGCGCCCGAAGATGCCATAGACGGAGGGGCGGAGTCACCGTCAGGGAGGGCAACCCCTGCAAGCCTCGGACTGTCTGCGACCGCGGCCTCCTCCAAATTTGCAGGCCGACAGGTCGGTGCGGAAAGCCCCTGGCAACCCAGGAGCACTCAAAGGGGAAGAGTCCTCACTTGGCCAGGCAGCACTGATGAGCCTCAGCCCCCGCCCCTGGCCGGAGCCTGACCCCGCCCACCGGCCGCTACTGTGAAAAGGTGCACTTCACAGAGCCGCTGCTAGGGGGGCGCTGGCGAGCGGTGGGGTTCGGAAACCCTCAGCCCCCAGAGGGTAGGGGGACCTCTGCAACCACGGGGGTACAGAGTCCGAGGCCCCCTACAAGGTGCAGGGACCGCAAGCCCGTTTTGGCAATGGGGCCCTCTTCCCCTCGGGGGACACCTGCAACCTCCTCCGCACTCACACCCCGAGGGGCTGACAGTGAGCCGACGACGCCATAGACGGAGGAGCGGTGTCACCGTCAGGGAGTGTACCCCCTGTATGCCTCGGACTGGCTGCATCCGCGGCCTCCTCCAAAGCTGCAGGCAGAGAGTCGGCCGGGAAAGGCCCGCGCAAACCAGCAGCACTCAAAGGGGAAGAGTCCTCAGCTGGCCAGGCAGCGCTGATGAGCCTCAGGCCCGCCCCCGGCCGGAGCCTGACCCCGCCTACCGGACTCTGCCTGAGCACAGGTGCAGTTCACAGGGCCGCCACTATGGGGCGCGGGCGAGGGGGTTCGGGGACCCTCAGCCCCCACGGAGGTAGGGGAACCTCTACCTGCTGCAGGAGGCCTTGATTCTCCGGCCTGATAAGACACTGGCAAGCAGCGAAGCCCAAAGTGCCTCACACCGTGGGGCCGAAGCCAAAGGGCCTCACACCGTGGGGCTGAAGATTTCTTGTGCCTCACACCGTGGGGCTGAAGATTCCTTGTGCCTCACACCGTGAGGTTGAAGATCTAACATTCCTTTAATTTTTGTTCATGGTCATAAATAAAAAAAAAATTTTCTAAAAAAGTACATTAGGCACTATATTATATGCATCAGTATATTGCAAATAAACGGCATGGAAAATTAGAAACTAATTATTAAACGATTTGGCCTACTTGACAATGGAAGACAACTTATTGAGCATACCTGACAAGCATTACAATACAATAATTACAGTAGGTCCTTCTATTTTGTTTTTTCTTGAAGTTTCTTGGGAAAGCTTTTAATATGAAGCTATTTGAGTTAAGGCGTTTCTAGGTAGAAAATGTTCTGATAGCTGAACTGCAGCTGGTCTCCGGCTGAAGGTCATGTGAATAAAATAGTCCTTTGATGCTTAGGCTTTAGCTGATAGGGATGCACTGGCGGTTATTCACTGTTTTAAATAATTGTCTAAATGAAAAATAAGTAGCTTTAAGTTAGGTTTGGTTAATTATCTGTTAACCTTGAAAGCTGCCGTCTAGCTGAGACCTGTTGGGCCAGTAGTCTATGGAAACATAATATACTAATTGTTTTGCTTTACACATGATAATGTATTTCCTTATTATTATTACTAATAATGAATAAAAAAAGACCTGCTGAGTCTCTCGGCAGAAGATACTAACACCTCACCAAGTGTCGGATCTCCTCATTTCCCTCCCGCTCAGCCCTTAAGTTTCAGTTCTTTCGTTTTCTCTGACGCCGTCTCATCCTTTCAGGAACCCCTGACACGACGTTTTGCCGGAGGCTGGTACCCGGCAAGTGGCGCCCGAACAGGGACTTGAAAGGTAAGATTTCTTTCCCGTGCGGGGACGGCTAGGATCTGCTCCATAGGGCAGGGCGCATACCCGCCTGTAGAGAAAGCAGGTTTGAGGGGAGCAGTAAGTCAGAACCGTAATAAGGCGAGTGAGTGTCTTATTGCTTGATAAGGCGAGTGAGTGTCTTATTGTTGAGAAGATATGGGCCATACTGAGTCTAAGGAAAGAGGACTCTTTATTAATATAATTAAGTATACTCTTGCAAAGAGAGGCCTTAAAAACTCTCATGCACAATTGGCTAGTTTCCTAAATTTTGTTGAAATGTGTTGTCCTTGGTTTCCTAGGGACGGTACTCTGGATGCAAAAACTTGGGCCAAAGTAGGAGAGGAAATGACATCCTATTATACTCTCCATGGACAAGAGAAGGTCCCCATTGATGCCTTTTCATTGTGGGGTCTGTTGCAAGACATGCTAGATCAAGGGTCTGAATTGGAAAAAATAGATAACAAGCTCAGGGAATTACGGCTACCTGAGCCTACTGCTTCCTTATCCTCGGAAGACATTAAAGGGTCCTCGGCTGACAGCCCGTCATTAACAAAACAATTGCCTAAACAAATAAATTGCTTTAGCCAGGCTGGAGGCAAAGCAAAAAATGCAAAACCAAAAGTAAAACAAAATTGGCCAGCTGCATTAAAGAAAGTGATTCAGATTCTTCGGATGATAAAATTGTTTTTCAAAAGTCAAAAATTGATTCTAGAGCCAAAGTTGACCTCCCTACTGAAGCGTCGGCTCCTTTTCATGAATCTATTCCTAAATCTGATTCAATTTCCAGCCCGGACTTGGCTGAGATTGTTAAAAGATATATCAGTGATTTGGCTAGAGCTAAGACTGATCTCAAGCCTTGTTCTGCAAATATACAATCAGACCCCTTTGAAAACACAGAGCCTGTGTCCAGGTCAATGCCACAAATGTTGTCTGGTGATTTGGTTCATATGTCTAGAGCTGGTTTGCTGGTGCAGTGAGACAAGCAGAAGAAAAAGGTGATTTTACCTTGCGATGTTTTCCTGTGCTCAATGTAGACAATGAACATGAGCAGCCTCAATGGAACCCCTTCCCTTTGAGCTTTTAAAGGAATTGAAAAGAACAACTGCCGATTACAGGGCTACATCTCCTTATACCTTGCAACTCGTAGAATCAGTGGCCAGTCGCTTCCTCACACCCCTTGATTGGCAGATGATGGCTAGATCTAGTCTGTCTGGTGCAGATTATTTGTTGTGGAAGGCAAATTATGAGGAGGAAGCACGGAGGATGGTAAAGAAATATAATGATAGAGAAATGAAAATGAGAGATGATAAAATTCTGCTTGAAATGGTTTTGGGTCAAGATGATTGGTGTGAAAACAATGTGCAGATTCGTATGCCACCTCCGGTCTTTCGTCTCGTGCGTGAAGCTGCAGTTGCTGCATGGAGCCGGTTGCCGGCTGGTGAAGTAAAAACCTCTGGCCTTGCTAACATTAAACAAGGCCTGAGGATCTTATCAAAACTTTTTATCACGGTTAATGGATGCTGTCCAAAAAACTATACCTAATGCTGAGGTGGCTCACATTATAACTAAACAACTGGCTTTTGAAAATGCTTCACCACCTTGTCAGGCATTGTTAAGACCCATTGTACGAACAGGAGACATTAATGAATATGTTTGAACCTGTTCGGAGGTGACACCCTCATATCTTCGTGGTGTGGCATTGCGGCTGCCTTAAAGGGACAGACCAACAGCCAATGGTTCGCCTCCCTTGATCAACAGAAGGAAAGGAAAATAAACAAAAAATTTTGGAAATTGTTTTTCTTGCGGACAGCCAGGGCATTATAGTAAAAATTGCCCAAACAAAGTAATCTCTATGTCGCCTCCAGCCTTGCCTCAGCAGTCTGACACACCTGTTACAACAAATAATAGTGAAATTCCTTCTCCAATGATACTTCCAAAAACTATCTGCCCGCGTTCTAATAAAGGATTTCATTGGATGAAGGACTGTCAGTCTAAATATCATAAAAATGGTACATTGTTGCCACCAAATGAAAAGTTTACTGTGGGCACCAATCCGACTGTTTTTTCAAAAAACATCTCACAGTCAAAAAACTGGGTAAGGGGCCCGACCTAGGCCCCTCAAATAATTGGGAACCTAAACGACCAGAGCGGCGAACAATCTCTGATCTAGTCCGCAGGGCCACAGGCGGAGCGGGCTTGGACTTGCATTCCACCTCCGCCGCAATATTAACTTCTGATCAATGTTACACCATGTTGACAACTGGGGTGTATGGGCGCCCCCCTCCGGGTACAATGGGGCTTGTTTTTGGCCGAGGTTCTGCGTCTCTGCAAGGCATAAAAGTAATACCGGTTGTTGTTGATTCTGATTTTACTGGTGAAATAAAAGTTATGCTGGAGCCTCCAATACAAACTATATAAATTCATCCAGGACAAAAAAATTGCTCAATTACTTTTACTACCTCTGGTGTCACTTGGCGATAAAATTGCATCTAATGAGCCACAAAGTAATTCTAGTTTTGAATCCAGTGGCATGGCTTTTTGGGTCCAACAAATAAAAACAATAGACCGACCAAAGTTATAAAAATTCAAAAAAAAATCAATTGAAGGATTGTTAGACACTGGTGCTGATGTTACTTGCATAGCAGGGCATGATTGGCCTAATGCCTGGCCCACAAAGGCTACGCCTTCTACTTTGGTCGGATTGGGATCAGCACAAAATGTGACAAAAAGTTCTCAAATTTTAAATTGGAATAATGGAAAGGTGTCCGGGACTTTTCAACCTTATGTTGTCCCATCTCTTCCTATGACATTGTGGGGAAGAGACATACTCTCTCAAATGGGAGTGCTCCTATTTAGCCCCAATGATAAGGTAACCGCTCAAATGTTACAAATGGGCTTTGACCCAAATCAAGGTTTAGGAAGAAGGTTGGAGGGCCAAGTATTTCCCATTGAGGTTGCTCAGAGAGAGCCACGACAAGGCCTGGGATATGGATCAAATTTATAAAGAGGGCCATTGCGGAGGTTACAGCCGACCCAATTGTGTGGAAAAATGATGACCCAGTATGGGTAGAGCAATGGCCCCTGACAGAGGATAAAATCCAGGCTGTAACAACTTTGGTTCAAGAACAACTGATGAAAGGACACATTCGCCTACTACCAGCCCATGGAATACTCCTATATTGTGATAAAAAAAATAAAAAAAAATGGAGATTGTTACAGGACTTAAGAGCAATAAATGTCACTATGCAAGATATGGGATGCTTGCAACCAGGTTTACCATCACCTGTGGCCATCCCTAAAGATAAACATGTTATTGTTATTGATTTACAAGATTGCTTTTTTACCATCCTTTACATCCCCAAGACTGCAAAAGATTTGCATTTAGTGTCCCATCAGTAAATTAAAAAGGCCATTTCAACGGTATGAATGGAAAGTTCTTCCTCAGGACATGAAAAACACTCCTACTTTATGTCAAAAATTTGTGAATATGGTTTTGTCATCCTTTAGGGATGAGTACCCTTCCATTTACTGTGTTCATTATATGGATGATATTTTAATAAGTAATGCTCAAGTGGACTTGTTAAATCAGGCCTTGGCCCGTCTGGTGGCTTTGCTGCAAAGTTATGGACTTGTGGTGGCACCAAAAAATATTCAAACTCTCCGCCAATCAATTATTTAGGAAGATTGTTCGTTCTTTAACTGTGACACCACAAAAACTGCAGCTACAAACAGACTCTTTACAGACATTAAATAATTTTCAAAAACTACTTGGAGACATAAATTGAATAAGAACTCATCTGTAGCTAACCACTGCTGATTTACGTCCTCTGTTTGATGTGTTTAAAAGGTAATTCTAATCCTAACTCCCCTAGGCAATTAACACCTGAGGCTACACTAGCCTTACAAAAGGTAAATAATGCACTCAACAATCAACAACTGTTGCGGCTAGATTATACTAAGCCTTGGGAGTTCATAATTTTGCCACCCCACACACGCCAACAGGTGTTTTGTGCAAAAGGGCCACTGGAATGTTACATTTACCAGTTACTGCAAAAATGGTTGTTTGTCCCTATGCTTCCCAAGTGACTGCGTTAATTGTTAAAAAAAAAAAAGGCATAGGAACGTTGAGCTTTTTGGCCGAAAATTTCCTGTTCTTGTTTTACCTTACAAAAAAAAAAAAACAACTTAATGACTTGCTTAGTTTAAGTGATAACTGGCAAATAGCCCTGCAATCTTTTTCGGGTGAAATAAAGTTTCATTTGCCTCCCGACCCTGTGCTTCATTTCTTTAAGAAACAGGCTTTTATTTTTCAACCATTGTTAGCGCTGTGCCTTTGCCAGAACCTGCTGCACTTGTGTTTACGGATGGCTCCTCCAACGGTAGAACTGCTTTCGTTATCAATGACAAACTAGAGTCCATCCAGACAACAAAAACCTCAGCCCAAAAAACTAAATTATTTGCAGTTCTCACCGTTTTTAAAATTTTACAAAATCAGCCATTTAACCTTTTTACTGATTCCCAATATGTAACCAGATTATTTCCTGATATTGAGACTACTGTAATTGCTGATGCTAAAACTACCATTGCTCCACAGCTATTGGAGCTGCAAACTTTAATAAGATCTAGGACATCCAGAGTGTATGTTGGCCATATTTGTGGTCATTCTAAATTACCAGGTCCTCTAGCTCGTGGGAATGAACTGGCCGAATTGTTGACTCGAGCAGCAGTATTCACAGTACAGGAGGCAATTAATAATCATGCCCTTCATCACCAAAATGCCGCTCATTGCGGAAACAATTTCATCTAACTCGAAAAACAGCCCGAGAAATTGTTCGCAAATGCTCGGTTTGCCCCACCACTCACCCTTCACTTCCGATGGGGGTGAACCCACGAGGCCTCAGACCAAATGATCTCTGGCAAATGAATGTCACTCATGTTACTAGTTTTGGGAGACTCAGTTTTGTCCATGTTTCCATAGATACATTTTCTCATGTTATTATGACTACTGCCCGGACAGAAAAAGCTTTGAAATGTCTCTCAACATCTAATTTTTGTTTTGCCTACGCAGGCAAACCTCGTGCTATTAAAACTGACAATGCTCCTGTATATACATCCTCTGCCTTTAAAAATTTTGTGCTTCATTTCAAATTGCTCATTCTACAGGAATTCCTTATAATCCACAAGGGCAAGCTATGTTGAAAGAGCCCACCAGACTTTAAAGTCTCAGATATATAAACTACAACAATCTGATTTTAAACATAGTTCGGCTCATCATATTTAACTCATGCTATGTTTGTCATCAATTATTTAAATTGTGATTCTCAAGGGATGTCACCAATTAATAGACATTGGGATCCTGACCAACTGGCCCCCAACCTCAAGTTATGTGAAAAATCTCCTTTCCGGAACATGGAAAGGCCTGATGTGTTATTAGCAAATGGAAAAGGCTATGCTTGTATCTTTCCACAGAATTCGGACAGCCCAATTTGAATTCCTGACAGACTGATCCGACATCATGTCTCAAAAGCCTTCACCGACACGCCCCCCATCAGACAACGACGCTCCAAGATGCGTAGGTGCAGCCCTCTGGGACACCACCCACCTTCTCCAAGATGCGATCGCTCCAGATCCCCTGTTGGAAGATTGTCCTCTTCCCTGCACCACCTTCGGGTTCGTAAGACGTCTCATCATGACAATTGAAATTTGCTCAAAAATCTGGCCTCTAATTCTGAACAGCTACTTATGCAGCAAAATGCACGCATCACCCCGGAGATTGTGTTTCCTTGCTGTGCTAGCAATCTTCTCATATAG